AAAGAAGCTTCTTTGTGCTGCCACGATTCCTGCCTTATTTAGCAGAGTCATGATTTGATGAGCCTTACAAGACTTGCTTCGATAGTGAGGAAATAAGGACCACGTAGAGGGGAATTGACTAAAAAATTCAGGAAATTATGGGTACGTGAACCCCAGGTCTCCTCTTGTACAAAACAGATTCTGGTGAGTTCTCAAGACAAATTCCGTCCAAAATTGTGACTTTCTCAATAAATTTACTCATCATCAGTTTTCTTTGTCGTGGATTTCTACTTACAGTGGAAGTTCCAAGACGTAGACGTGGGTCAAGAAATTCGAGATGCGAGTCGCCTCGCATGCGCATTATTAACACCGGGACCTAATCCATTTGATTCCGTGGTAGTAAAAACAACCTTCAGTCAGGTCACACCTAGCCGATCTAATAAAGAATCCTCGGAGGGAGAGGGGGACGGAAAAGGAGCTTAGCCTCCTACAGCGCGGCGGATGCCTAAAAACTTCTTCGTTGCGATCGCAGGGGCGTGCCAGGGGGCTGGCTTTGCCGCGGAGCCAGTCCGTTACCTCAAAAACGCCCCAGCATGATTAAGACTGCGGTCAGCGGGATAACGTCGCCGATGTAGTGAGTTAGCGAGGCTAGCGGTGAAAATTCTTCGCGCGTTAAGCCTCTTTTCTTCAAGTCTCCTGACCCCCACTACCACTTCCACTCCTGGGCATTCAATACGCTTCATCAGTAGTCTTTCAGGATGAATACAAGTACCTATATGACTTGATGCTGCACTGGTATATGACGAATCCGGAGTATCGTGTCCACGACAAGGACATCTCTGACGATGAAGGCGGTGGTGGCTTTGGTGGCGGCACCGGCTCAAAGCAGTCCTCACAGCGGCAGTCACTTCGCGACAAGGATCGCTTTCTGCGAGGGCAGAATTCGATCCGGAAATCCGAAACCCGCAGCAAAAATCCGGACAAATAATCGTCAGCGATCGTCCCAGATGGGATATCAATAGCCTAGGGACCTAGTATGAGCCTCTCGGTAGTACAGAACAGTATCAGTGCACCCTATACATTTTCCATTCAGATCTTTCCTTCATCGTGTTCGTCGTTTTTTTCGTTGTTCATATAAAATCAGATGAGTCAGGTATATCATCCGGTACGGGTCTTTCTCAGAAGCCACTAGAATTATTTGCTCATCGATTCCTAGTCAGTTGTGCCTCTATTTCGAATTGTTTCTAAAGTTTAATAAATTCCTGTTTATATATAAAACAAAGCGACACATATCATATATTTGTTTCTAGTCCTATTATATTTGTGTCATTTGTTCTGCGTATTCCATAGGATTCAGAGAGAGGAAGAGAGCAAACGTGTCTGTTCTTTGATGATGAGAACGTTTATAGTCTCAGTCCCCCTGCGGGGTGCGATGTCGCCCACTCACAGAGCGACCTCCCACTCTCATCGGACGCTCTCGTTTAGGTATCAGTTCTCAGATGCACTTCTTAGGGAGCCTTTTCTGTGGCCTTCTATGAAATACATATTGTACATTGTGTTATTCCAATGCTTCCACTGTGATTTTTGATATTTCTTAATTCATGCAAGTCAATAAATACAATTTGTCTGAACTTCCTAGGTTTTGTCCTCTCAAATGAACCGTCGAATCTCAGCTGGTAGCAAAGGTCGAGCTTTAGCCATGAAGTTGTCCCTGGACAGATAGCAACCGCACATTTGTCGCCATCCCTGAATGAGAACTGTGTAATGCGTTTCAAAGTACCATAAGTCCTACCATCTGGTAGGAGGTGGTCGCTAGTCGTTTTGATAAAAAAGAATTTCGACTTCAACAACTGAAAGTTCGAAGACAGGTTTGTCTTTTCCACTACAGCACTTGCTGGAAGACGCCCGTCCCTCAGATGCACTTAAAGGCAGAGGGCACGATTACTGAGGGAGGGCGGTTGTAGCCAAGTCACTGGTGGAAGAGCTTAGTTGGTTTGACTTCCTCTCGCAGCTCTTCCACCAATGGCGCTGGCTACAACCGCCCGCCTCCAGCATTCGCGCCCGCTGCCTACCATTTACTTTCCTCGCTGGTGCTCCCCTTCTCTTCATCGCCCTGTAAACGAAGTGTGCTTCAATAGGGGGTCCCGTCACAAGATCTGACGCTACGCTTTCTGGATGGACTGCTACCAGAAGTAGTGGTAAAAGCTATTGTAAAAATGGTCAATAACAGTACATTGAAGAATATGATATTAGTGAGTATTCTAGTAAGGTTCCACACCTTCTGTACCCATAATGACTCTAGGGGACCATAAGCAGAGAAATCGAAAAGAAACTCAATAGAAGTAAATGTCACTACCTTGAATCCTGTTCTTGAATGAAATA